CAGATCTCCCATAAAGATATACTAGGAGTCGAAATTGACTAGATGGCTGTGGGTTTGGGTTATGGGAAATGTTACTCAAAATTTTATTCCCAAAATCTTATGAGGTAGGGCTGACCATCATCCTTATTGCACAAGCAAGGAAACAGAGGCACAGAAAGACCAAAGCAGAGCCCAAGACCACACCCAGGTTGTGGGATTGGAACCCAGGCCGGAGTCTCCCAAATCAAACCAAACTCACTGCCACCTAGTCCATTCCAAGTCACAGCGACCCCCGTTGGGTTTCCAAGGCTGTAAATCTTCGCCATAGCAGACTGCTTCATCTTCCTTCCACAGAGCGGCTGGTGGATTTGAACCACTGACCTTTTGGTTAGCAGCCAAATGCCTTAACCACCAGCGCCCCCTAGGTCCAAACCAAGGCCGGAATAATCCAAAATCTGGGTTTTTGGTCTCTGTTGGGTGATATCAGTTGCTTTTGAGGCTGAGAAGTGTTGAAGGAAGAGCTGGGAGTAAGCGTATCTTCTGTAAATCATCATATCCCTTCTCTGCTAGAACTGTTCCCTCCCCATGGCTCACATCCCACTCAGGGTAGAAGCCACAGTGCAGCCCACTATATCCTGCTTGGTTTGGCTCCATTTACTTCCCTGACCTCGTCTCATCACTGACCCCCCCCCCCCAATGACCTCTTTGCTATGCCTCTAAGATTCTCACCTCACTTATTCTCACCACAGGGACTTTGCACGGGCTGTTCCCTCTGCTGAGAATGCTCTTCCTCCAGATGTTCTTACCTTGCTCAGGTTTTTCTTCACCTCCTTGGTGATGCCTTTCCTGACAACTCTATTTAAAGTCACGATCTTCCCTCCACTTCCTGCCCTTTTCTGTTTTATTTTTCTCTCTAATGCCCTGGTAGCATAGTGCCTGAGGCATTTGACTGCTAACCAGAAGGCTGGTGGTGGGTTGAACCACCCGCCACTCCTCAGAAGGAAGGTTAGGCAATGGACTTCCGTACAGATACTGCCTCAGAAAACCAAGGAGGGGTCTCTATGAGTTGGATCCAACTTGACAGCAGTGAGGTTTTTTTTTTTTTTTTTCAGGTAATGCCTGTCACCTTCTTTATATATATGTTTATTATATCCCTGCCAGAAGCCAGCACAAAGACAAGGATTTTTGCCTGTTTTGTTCCTTACTGTGTCCCCAGCACCTGGAAAAGCACTGTAACTGCTTAATAAAACTTTCAAAAGGAATTAATTTTTGTTCTGTATCAGGCTCTGTGCTGACCTCTCTACAGACACTATTTCACTGCAGCTCTGTCACCAATATTGGGAAGGAAGAGATGCCCCATTTTACAGAAGAGGACAAATGAGGCTCAAGGTCTACCAGCCTCAAGCTTTTGCTTGTAGCAGCTGGGCTATTTGATATGACCTCATGGATGTGAAGCATGTGGACCCAGGACTGGCACAGTCAGCCACAGCCCTGTAGAATCGGCAGTTGTCATAGGTGCTTTTTTTATATACTTTTTACCCAAGGGTGAGCTGCCACTCAGCTCCTGAGTCAGACCCTCACTGTCTGGGGGGGGGGGGGCTGTTTGTTTTGAAACTGAGTCACCTGGGGAAAGACACAGGCATAGACCCAAGGCTATAAAATGAGTCATCTCTCCATGGACCAATGAGAATTCAGAGGCAGGAGCCCCCTGGCACACTATGGAAGCTGACGCCCAGAGAGGGTTGAGGACTCATCTGAGGTCACACAGCACAAGGATGGAGATGGAGGTGGGGGGCTGGGGGTGCTGATTTCCAAAAAGAAGAGGGAGGCTATGGGGAAGCCACATATTGCTCCCTCTCCCAGTTGTGGGAGGTATGTCCCAGCCAGCTGCTTCTATTCCAGACTGAGAAGGGGGTGAGTCAGCCTGCTGGGGGGGGGGGGGAAGCAGGCTTTAAGCCCTCCCTGGCGCCCCCCCCAACACACATCCAGATGGGCTGGGAGTTGGTTTTCCAGGATGCCAAGGCTCCTGACTCAGCACCAGGAATCTTGGCTGAGTGTGTTCTCGGAAATGTCAGTCCTGCAGGAAACAGGGCTCCCACTCACACCATCACACTGGTGGGCGGGGAGTGGAGAGAAACTAGGGTATATGAGTGAACGGGGGGGGGGGCAGCGTGCAGGGGCTGGGTTTAAGTGTACATGGGAAAAAAAGGGTGTGAGAGACAGTTGGCAAAGAAAGGCAGGGGGCTTATGTGGACAAGGGAAGAGGTTGGGTGCCAGGATGTGGGTGTTTGAAGCAGAGGGTAGGTGTGCAAAGTGGAGAACTACATGTGCAAGACTGTGAACTATGCGTATTCCAAGGAGAGGTATAGAGCAGTCGGCTCAGAAAGGGGATTGGCAAGGAGAGGTGGTTTGTAAGGGAGAGGTATGTCTACAAATAGGACAGAATAGGGAACAGAGAGGCCCGCTGAGTACAAGGCACTTTGAGGTGAGTGGAAAGGCATAAAAGATGAAGTGTGAGCTCAAGCCGCGTCCCAACTATTCCGAACGGGCACCAACACCTACCCTTAGGTCCGGCTGGAGCACTTGGGTTCCGCCCCTGAGCCCGCCCCCTACGCACAGGGAGCTTGCCTCCTGTCAGTCAGTGACCCGCTGCTCCGCCATTGGCTAGCTGACTGGAGGGGGCTGGTGTGCAGAGCCTCCCGGAAGCGCAAGAGGCGCCGCGCGCTGTGGACCCGGAGCTGGGGAACTGTGGCTGCTTAGCAACGGGGGGAGGTCCCCAGTAACGGAGTGGGGGGACACGGGAGAAATTGTGGGTGCCTAGCAACAGGGGGAAGGCGGTTCCTAGGAACGGGGAAGGCTCAGAGAAGTGGCAGGTAGCCCTGAAAGATCTGTGGGTGTCTAGCAACCGGGGAGGACCTTAGTAACGGTGTAGGGGGCGCTGGGGGAGAGTGGATTTTGGGTGGCCCGCAGGAAAAGCTAGAGATTCCTAGCAACGAGACGGAGAGGCAGGGGAAGCTATAGGGGCCTCTTAACAGGGAAGAAGTCCTTGGGACTTGGCAGTCTTAGAGAGGGTGGGCACCGAAGGAATTTGGGGGCCTGGCAAACAGGGAGGACAGGCCACAAGCCCCACCCAAATAATCCCTCCCTTTCTCCCTCAGGCGATGTGGCTGGAGTTAGGGTTCCTTCCGCGGGGGACCTGTGGACAGCTGGGCCGTTCTATTGGTCTGCTCTGTGGGGCTCTGGGGCCTGGCCTCCACTGGTGGGTAAGAGTGGGGAGGGTCCCCAAGAGAAAGAGGTGGGGAAGGGAGGGGTCCCAAAGGGCCAGAGGACCCCCATGTCCTCTAATCCTTACCAAAGTCCATATTGCTCACAGGGGTCTTGTGGGGGTTCTCAAGCCCCAAGGTTTCATCAGGACGGGCCTGGCAGAAGAGGCCTGAGTGAGGAAGACATTCGCAGGGCACGGGAGGCCCGGCCCAGGAAGACACCCCGGCCCCAGGTATCACTGTGCCCCTCCTCAGTGATACTGCATGAAGGCTGCTGGTCCCCTGAAGTTGGGGAAGGGTGCACCCACCTTCCTACTCTCAGACATGCCCCTCATTTCCCAGCTGAGTGACCGCTCCCGAGAACGCAAAGTGCCTGCCTCCCGCATCAGCCGCTTGGCCAACTTTGGGGGTAGGTGTGTGACTGGGGTATTATGACCTACACTGGAGGGGGTGACATTTACAGAACAAATGAGAGAAAGAGTGAGAGATATACACGGGCAGAGGAGGGAAAGACAGGGAAGGAGACCCACAAAGCCAGAGAAATAGGAGCGTATTTGGTACCAAAGTTTATTTTTCATTTTTGCAGTGTTTCCTCTCCTTCCCTCGATACCAATGTTTATTGAGAAATTGCAATGTGTAAGGCCCCATATGCACGTTATCTCACTACAGTGAACCTATGAGTGCTCATTTCCATGTTACAGATGAGGAAATGAAAGCTGAGAGAGGTGAGGTGACTTCTTGAGGTCATGTAGCAGGATTGGTCAAACTTGAAGTTGCAAGTTGCATGAAATAATTTAGTGGGTCGCCAAACTCACCAAAACCAAACTCACCGCCATTGAGTTGATTCCGACTCATAGAGACCCTCTTTGAGTTTCTGAGGCTGTAAATCTTGACAGAAGTAGATCACCCCATTTTCTTCCATGGAGTGGCTGCTGGGTTTGAACTGCTGACCCTCTGGTTAGCAGTCAAATGCCTTACCCACTATACCACCAGAGCAGCCAGCATTAAAAAAAAAAAAAGAATAGAAAATAGGAATGTACCTGTATAGGAATGGAAAATATTGTTTTGTGAAACATTCTGTATACCTTTATCTTTACCAGTTACAATATAAATATCTTTACTATGGATCGTGATTCAAGTTTTAAAGATACTGATTCACGGTATTAAGAAGCATTTGAGTGCTGTGCTTAGAGCTTTAGAACCTGGCTGTGTGCAAGGTCTGATTCTGCTATGCCCTCACTTTGTGACTCTGAGCAAGTTACTTAACTTCTCTGAGCCTTGGTTTCCTTTTCTGTAAAATGGACGTTTCTCTGTAAAACCTATCTCATGAGGATGTGCGGGTAAAATGAGTTAATGACCAAAACTCGTACTGGGAATGATACCCGGCATGTAGGAGGGCACTCAGAAAACTCCGGGTGTACTTATTTACAGAGATGGTGACAGGGAAAGAGGCACAGAGACCCAAGATGTTCTTGGGGACAGGGAGAGAGACAAAGTCAGAGCTGGGGAGAGGTTGTAGAGGGAGAAACAGAGAGACAGAGGCATAGAGGGGCCAGGGGAAATCAGGACGGGAGAGAAATCACTGCCTGAGGAAAGAGAGACCTGAAGAGGAAGAGCCAGGGAAAAGGGGTCACAGGATGACAGAGACTCAGGGGTGTCATCTTGGGGCCTTAACCTTGGCTGCACAGTAGGATCATCTGGAAGGCTTAAAAAAAAAAAAAAAGTGTCACCCGGCCTTAGTTCAGCTCAGTTAAATCAGCCTCTCGGGTGGGATCAGGGCATCGTATTTCTAAAAGCTGCTCAGATGACTGTCCTGTGAAGCCAGGGCTGAGAGCTGCTGGCTCAGGAGAGAAAGAAGGGACCTCACCTGGAAGGAGCCCGCAAGCAAGGAGGGAGTAAGATGGGGACAGAGACTTAGAGGCAGCAGGTGTGTGTGTGAGGGGAGAACACCCCGTCCAGCAGACGCAGCCTCCTCTCTCCCTCCCCAGGACTGGCTGTGGGCCTGGGGCTGGGAGCACTGGCTGAGGTGGCCAAGAAGACTCTGCCAGGAGGATATCCACAGTCAGGTGAGTGAGCCCCACTGCCTGGGTTCAGCCCTTGGCCTTGCTGTGTGACCTGAGGCAAATGGCTTCACCTCTCTGAGTGCAAGTTTCCTCATCTGGAAAATGGAAGTGATGATAACGTACCCACCTCTTAGGGGCCACGTGAAGTGCTCAGAACAGGCTACATCTGCTATTACAGTTGTGATTCTTAAAAGCTTATCATCCAAGAAACAATGTAAGCCACTGTGTTTTGGGTCCCAGACTTAGAGCAGGAGAGGAAAGCTGAACGCAGGAGTGCCAGTGGGGATCCGTGTACAATAGAGATGGACTTGGATGTGTTCAGAGAGGGATTTGTGGGTAAGATTCCTCAGGACGCCTGTATCTTGAAACAAAAGGGGCGTTATTTTATATAAGTGAAATATGTGAACCTTCATGGGACCTCAGTTTGAAAAACCCCCAGCTGTAATCAACTTGTAGGGACAGTGGGGGACATTTGAGTATAGACTGGATAGTAAATGATACTAGGGAATCAGTGTCACTTTTCTGGGGCATAATGACAGTGCTGTGACTACATAGAAGAATGCTGTCATTTTTAGGAAAAGAATGACAGAGCTTTTAGGAGTTAAGTTCAGGTGTGCAACTTCATCTAAGTGGGTCAGCCGAATAATAATCATGATAACAGCAATAGCAACAACCTCACACACACACACAAAGCAGACGAGGCAGGATGCTGCAGGGCTTAATACAGGTGAAGGATATGTGGGTGTTCCTTGTGCTACACTTGCAACTTTTCTGTCTGTCTGTATTTTTGCAAAATGAAAGGGTGGTGGGGAATGAGGCAGACCCAAGTCTATACCCTATTCTGCCACTTCCATGCTGTGTGACCTGAAGCCAGGCAGTATGCCTCTCTGAGCTTCTTGCTTTCTCACCTTTTAAGTGAAGGCATTAGTAGTTCTTACTTCCTGGAGTAGCTGTAGAGATTCAGCTAGAGAATCTACAGGTCCTTGGAGTCGATTTCGACTCACACGGACCCCATAGGACAGAGTAGAACTGCCCACAGGTCTTCCAAGGCTGTGAGTCTTTACGGAAGCAGACTGCCTCATCTTTCTCCCACGGAGTTGCTGGTGAATTCCAACAGCCCACATTGTGGTTAGCAGTTAAATGCCTTTAACCACTGCACCTCCACAGCTCCTTTGGACTCAATAAAGAGCACAATAAATTTTTTTATAAAATAAAAGCTTAATAAATGCTTTATTGAAGCATAATGTGTATACAGAAATGTACACACAGCATAAGTGTACAGCTTGATGAATTTTCACAGAGTAGAGTGTTCATGGGAGCTCTGGTGGCGTAATGTCTAAGCATTTGACTGCTGACCAGAAGGCTGGCGGTTCAAACCCACCAGCCACTCCTTGGAAGGAAGGTTGGGCAATCTACTTCCATAGTGATACCACCTCGGACACCCAAGGAGAGGTCATTGTGAGTCGGATCCAACTTGGCAGCAGTGGGTTTGTTTTTTTTTGGTAGAGTGTTCATGCACCCAGATCAAGAAACCCTCAAACAGTGAATCTCAGACTTTATGGTCTCAGTATCTCTGCACACCCTTAAAACGGAAACGTAAGTGTATACAACGTGGTGTAGTCACACCGTAGGAGGTTACTCAGCCAGAGAATGACATTCTGATGCGTGCAACACGGATGACCCTTGGAAACATGCTGTGTAAGATAACACTGCCAACCCACTGGCACTGAGTGGATTCCGACTCACAGCGCCCCTAGAGGACAGAGTAGAACCGCCCCATAGGGTTTCCAAGGCTGTCAGTCTTCACAGAAGCAAAGCCCAAACCAAACTCACTGCCTTTGAGTTCATGGTGACCCAGCGTCCCTAGAGGACAGAATAGTAATCTTTGCAGAAGCAGGCTGCTACATCTTCCTCCCATGGACCTTTTGGTTAGCAGCCCAGTGCTTTAACCACTGTACCATCAGATCTCATATCGAGTAAGATAGGCAGTCACAAAAAGACAAATACTGTGTGATCTCATGTGAAATAGGCAGATATCCAACGATTGGATGGAGGGAAAAAGGGGAACACTGAGTTTCTGTTTAAATGGTGGTGGAATAATTCAGAAAAGCGTGCTGATGATGGTTGCAACCATGTGAAGAATGTAACCCAGTGTCACTAACTCCCACATAGACAGATTGTTGAATTGGTGGATTGTTTGTTATGTGTATTTGCACCACAATCTTTAAAAAAGAGAAGAAACCTCAGAACTGTGGTTGTGAAGCTTTTTGGTCTCAAGATCCCTGCACCCCCTTAAAACTGATGAGTGAGTAAATAAAATGGTTCTAGTCACATCCTGGAGTGTTTTTCAGCCATAAAAAGGAGTGGAGTACTGATCCGTGCCACAGCGTGGATGAGCTTTGGAAACGTTGCCAAGTGAGGGAAGGCAGATACGAAAGGCCACATGTTATATGATTCCATTTAGTCAGCATCTAGAATCAGGACAGAACCCTACAGGGACAGAAAGTAGATTGGTAGTTACCAGGACTGGGGAAAGGAGCCCTGATGGCACACTGGTTAAGCACTCAGCTGCTAACCGTAAGGTTGGCAGCTGGAACCCACAGGAGAAACGTGGCAGACTGCTTCTGTAAAGCTTACAGCCTTGGAAACCCTGTGGGACAGTTCTACTCTGTCCTGTAGGATCACTGAGTCAGAGTCAAGTTGGGGGCAACAGGTTTTGGTTTTAGGGCTGAGGAGTTTAGGGAGAAATGGGGACTAATTGCTAATGGGTACGGAGTTTCTTTCTGGGGGTGATGAAATGTTCTAGAATTGATTGTGGTGAATGGTTGCACAGCTCTGTGAAAATCCTAAAAGCCATACAAATCTATGCTTGAGATGAGTGCATTGTGTAATATGTGAATTATATTTCAGTAACGCCATTACGGAAAATATTGAGGGCTCCCCAAGGCTTTGTTGATGTATGTTACATTTACTGGCATTTATGTGTGTTACACTTACTGGTATTTACCATGTTAGAGATTAAAGCTAAGAAATTGTTACAACACACAAACACACACACACATCCCACAGCCGTCAGTGACACTGTCTGCGTGTACAGCCGTCCGCGATGCTGTCTGCACACGTCATCGAGCCTATGGAAGAGTCCAGTGGGCACTCGGGAGAATGGGAGGGAAGGAGGAGCAAATAGCATCTATTATTATGAGAAAAGTTTTGGTCTCATGGACCATCTGAAGGGTCACAGAGACCCCCTGGCACCTCCCATACCACACTTTGAATTTACTGCCCTAGAATTTCCAGAAGCCCCTCTCATGCCCCCTTTTAGTCACTCCTAGTTTCTCTACTGTCTTGGCTTCTAAAACTCTCATTTTGCCTAACTTTGCTCTTCATATGAATGGAAATGGACAGTGTATTTATTCTCTTAGGAGTCTGGCTTCTTTGGTGCAGTGTTGTGTTTGAGAGGCATGTCCGTGTGGTTGGTGGGTGTGTAGATTGTTCAGTCTTTAGTTTCCCACTGTGTGGCTGCCACAGCTCGTCCGTTCGCTCTCCTGATGCTCCTGTGCATTGTCTCCAGTTTGGGGCTGTCATGATCACTGCTACTGTGAACAGACTTGTACTGTCTCTGTTGGTGGACACATTAATGCACTTCCCTAGGAGAGGAATTGCATTGGGTGTTAAGTGGAGCTTTAAGGAGCTCTGGTGGCATAATGCCTAAGGCATTGACTACTAACCAGAAGGCTGGTGGTTCAAACCCACCAGCCACTCCATGGAAGGAAGACTGGGCAATCTACTTACACAGAGATACTGCCTTGGAAACCCAAAGGGGGTCGCTGTGAGTTGGAATCGACTCAACAGCAGCAAGTTTTTTTTTTTTTTTTTTTAATGTGGAGCTTTAGTAGAAACCTCCCAGCTGTTTCTCAAAGGGCCTGTGCCATGACACTCACCACACACAACCTGAGTGTAGGTTGCTCCACATCTTTGCCAACACTTGGTATTGTCTTTTTCATTTTAGCCATTCTGGTGGGTGTACGGTGGTATGATACTCATCATGGTCCTGATAAATGATTACTCTCTCCTCCCCAGAGGCTGGCTCCCAGGCAGGCTCCAGCCCTTTCCTGTCGGAAGCCAACGCTGAACGCATCGTGCAGACCTTGTGTGCTGTTCGGGGGGCCGCCCTCAAGGTTGGCCAAATGCTCAGCATCCAGGGTACAGCGTGACCCTCCATCCCTGACCCCTGACCTCACTTCTTCCTCACCCCCCCCACCCGCTAACATCCCTGACTTCAGATCCTCACACGGGGGCCCTCCTCCTTCACTCCTTCCCTCCTCTTCTCTCCCAAGACAACAGCTTCATCAGCCCCCAGATCCAGCGCATCTTCGAGCGGGTCCGCCAGAGTGCTGACTTCATGCCCCGCTGGCAGATGATGGTGAGTGCCCGGGGGGCTCCATCCCACCCCACCCTCTGCCTTCATCGATCTGCTCAGTGCCCGACCCTGACGCTCAGCCTCAGCTACCCCGGCGTGAGATGGGACCTCCTGAAGCCCACTCCTCCGAGCCGCTGTGCCAGTGCTATGAGAAGGTGACGAGCAGGCCATGCGGTGCCGGGCACAACCCAGGCCCCATGGGGCTGCTAAAGAGGCAGCGGAGCCCAGTCCCGAGGCCAGCGTGGGCCCGAACCCTGGCCTGATCTCTCCGTATCTCGGTTTCGTCATCTGTGCAGTGAGGATAGTGATAACACGCACATCGTCGCGTTAGGTCAGTTAGTTTACCTAACACACACAGAACAGGCCCGACGCTCAGTGAGATGCATTTTATTACTTTTCTTGGTAAATTAGAGGAGATAGTTTCTGTAAATAGATTGGCACCACGCCTGCCACCAAGACATCAGCTGTTCTTGTAATAACCGAGGAAGGGTGGACTCTGGAATCTGGCCACCTGCCTGCCTTTTAGTCTCTGTTCTGCTCCCTTGCCAGGTGACCTTGGGCAGTCGCTGCCCCATTCGGAGCTGCTCTGAACAGGACCCAACCCCAGGAGGCCCTCAGAAAATTTGAGCTCTTCCTTATCACATTAACTTCAAGTTGCTAGTATGTTATACAAGTATAAGAAAGAATTATTATCAGGCTAACTATAGATAGTAACAGTGTCCACCACCGCCTGGGGGATGTAGGCTCTGGAGATAAGCTGGGCTGGGCCACCCAGCCCCCGCTGCCTGGTTGGTCCCCACGGGCGAGAGACTTCTCTCTGAGCACTATTTTTTCATCTGCAAAGTGGGGTAGCCGTCAAGAGCTTAGCCCGGGGCCCAGTGGGTGTGAGCGTCCTGTTGTTAGTGCTGGGGTCATGAACGCGCGCAGCTGCCCATGGTCGTGACAGGGTTGGCTGTGACCACTCCCCTCAAAGTTCGTTCATTCTTTTTTTTTTTTTAATTGTGATTTGGGTTAAAGTTTACAGAGCAAATTCACTTTCCATACAGCAGTTCACATACCTTTGTCTCATGACATTGACCACAATTTACCCCAATGCAACAGCTCCCCTCCCAGTTCCTCCCGATAATTACCTCTTCCCTGTGTCTATCTGTGGCGGTTATGTTTGTGTGTCAACTTGGCTGGGCCTGGTTGAGTGGCTGGGAAGCTGGTGGTAGTTATTTCCCATGATGAGACTGGCAATCAACTCCATGGTGGGATCTACCACAAGCATCTGGGTAGCTGCCTTTGGGATGTGGTCTGCTTCCTGTATTTAAGGAGAAGTCTTGGGAGTGGTCTCCAGCCTATGGCACGCTTGGACCCTGCATGTAGCCATGTCGTTGCTCAGCAGCCTGCTATGTTCTGCCGACTTTGGGACTTACAATGGACTTAAGTTAATGGCCTGCCGTGTGGTTTGGTAACATCAGAAATGTGCCTTTTTACTCGTCAACCTTGGGACTTCTCAGCCTCAGCAGCCAGCAGCTGTCTGAGTGAAGAAATGCCTCTAGCTCCAGTGGACCGGGAGCAGGAGGCAGAGCTGGACCCCAAGGTTGAGAGGGGCTTTCACCCAGCCCCTAGAGCCTGGCACTTTGAACTTGGACTTAAAGCCTCCAAATTGTAAGAAGAAACTCCTGTTTGTTAAGGTCATCCCATTTATGGTATATTCCTGTCAGAGTGGCGCCAGGGAACCAGGACAGCATCCCTCCATGCACTCCTGCCCCCTCAGCTGTCTCCTTGTGCCAGGCTCTAGGGGCCAAAGTAGGAGGGGGAACAATGTTTCGTGTAGTATGCTATGCCAATTGAGCTTGATGTCCTCTGCAACTATGGTCCCGAGCCCACAGGTTCAACTACTGGGTCCCTCTGGGTAGCTGGCTGTGGCCAAGATGTGACTACAGCCTTGTCCCTTGTCAGCTCTACTATACACTTATAGAACCATTGTTTGCCAACCCTATACATGGTCTTGGGTATAGTCCCTGCTGCACAGACATACCTAATAGTTCAGCCTGCCCACCCATCTATCCACCCTTATACCCGTGTTTGCCTTCACTGACCATGCAGAACTGTATGTGCAAAAGGGTTCATCTTTGTTGTCTGCACCTCCCACGTGCCTCTCTATGTCTTCCTCTTCCTCAATGCCACCGTGTTGATCACTCACGTTTGGTACATTGCCCTTCTCTTCACCCAAATCAATACTTACCTCTACTTATCTAACAGTGTTCCCTCCCCTCCCCTCCCACCCCTGGTAACCAACAAAGAAAATTTCCTTCCATAGATAAACCTTTCCTTGACTTTTACAACAGACTAATACAATGTTTGTTCTCAGAGAGTTCTTGAAGAGGAGCTTGGCAGGGACTGGCAGGCTAAGATGGCCTCTTTGGAGGAAGTGCCCTTTGCCGCTGCCTCAATCGGGCAGGTGCACCAGGGCATGCTGAGGGATGGGACGGAGGTAGCCGTGAAGATCCAGGTAAGGAGGGTGAGGCGGGGGTGGTGGTGGCCCCTGTTGACCTGGAGGAGGAGTGACTCCCTGCCTGTCTCCCGTGCAGTACCCTGGCGTCGCCCAGAGCATCACGAGTGACATCCAGAACCTGCTGGCGGTGCTCCGGATGAGCACGGGCCTGCCGGAGGGTGAGGCGCTCCCTCCCCATGGAGCTGGATGGGGGCAGAGTGGCCCATGTGGGGCTGTGTGTGAGAGAATGTGCAGTGCATGAGAGACACTGAGGCACAGAGAGCGTGTGTGTGAAGAGAAAACTTAACTGATTCTGAACGAGTCACAGAGACAAGCCTGGTCCGAAATTCAGACGCAGACACCGGAGGGTGTGCAGTGTAGAGAGGGGTCGTAGGTGTGGGAGAAGCAGCAGGAGCAGAAAGCGATCGTAAAGAGGCAGCATGTTTGTGTTACAGCACGTGGGAAACTGACTGAGGAAGATGGAGTGGAGTTGTGTGAGAAAGAAAAACTCCAGGAAAGAGAGTGGTTTTATACAGGATGGTCAGGATGCAGATTGGGTGGCCGGTGTGACTGTGAGATGTGAGGGACTGGTGTGCACATGCGTGGAAGACACAGACCAGGAAAGCCTTTGAAGGACTGTGGCTGTATGAAGGACAGGGAAGTGTGTGATGTGTGTGTCAAGGGCACAGTGGACAGAGACCGGGAGTGTGCGTGTGTCTGGAGAGCAGAGGTGGATGATGGACAGGGAGGGGAGAACTGAGAAGCCACCCATGAGTGGGAGCCCGAGGTGTGGGCTGGACAGTGGCCTTCCCGGCTGACAGAGCTGTACCTCTCAGGCCTGTTTGCAGAGCAGAGTCTGCAGGCCTTGCAGCGGGAGCTGGCTTGGGAGTGTGACTACCGGCGTGAGGCAGCTTGTGCCCAAAACTTCAGGTGAGCTGAGCCCCTGCAGGGCCCTTCGAGACCACTCTCCTTCCAGCTTCCCTTCTTCCTTCCCTCCTGGGTTGAGCGGACGGTAGAGGCCCCTAAGTGGGGCTGGTAGACTCTTCATTCATTTGTTCAAGCACCTTCGCCTCTTTGGTCCCCATGTTTCTGTCTTCTGTGAGCTGATGGGGGAGATGGACTTGTCAACAGGGAATTGATTACACAGTGAGATACTGTTACACCCACTGGGTTGACAAAGACTAAGGGATGTGACAGTGCCGAGAGCTGGAGAGAACAGGACTCCACAGTATCCCTCATACATGTGGGCTGAAGGGGACTTTGATATCAGCATTTTGGGCAAACAGTTTGGGAACATCTGTAAGGCTCAAAATTCACGTACCCAACAACCCGATAGTTGCTCTTCTAATTAAATACCTCAGAGACGCTCCCAACTGAATCTTCTAGAATGCTTAGGGGAACACTGTTTGAAATAGTCCAAAACAAGAAACAACTCAAATCTTGACCACACCAGAGTGGATGACGTAATGGTGGTGTGCTCATCAGTGAAACGTGAATGGTGAGATGAACCGTGGCTTCCAAAAACAATACGGTCGCGTCATAGAAGCATCACAATACGCAGCAGTTAATTACACCTCAACGGGATCCTCCACCACGTGGTGGCAAGCTCTGTGGATGCAGAGTGAGAGGAAAGGCCCCAGAAGGCAGGGGTTGGGGGCGTTCTGTGGGACTGACAGGTGTGGGCTCAAATGCCAGGTACACCCTTACCCACTTGTGTGGCCTGAACCTGTACAGTGGCTTCAGGAGAGTGTCATCCTCTTTAGGGGACTGAGGATCGAGGGAACTGTGCTGAGGAAGTACTTGACACAGGGCCCTGCTCAAACATTAGAGTTTTTATAAATAAGAACAAAAACACAAGCCCCCAAGCAGGACCTTGAGGAGGAGGGCATGATCTGGGGCTGGGCCACAGTCCTCCCATGTGGGATCTGGGGAGACTCCCTCTACAGTGCCCAGGGAATAAAAATCCACACCCTCTGGCCTCTGCCCATCTACCCGGGCCCCCTCACTCTACTCCAGCCACCCCACAGCTGCCCAGTGACAGGGCTTTCACGATCTTTGCTCCCCACATCTTCCACTGAGACACCCTACAGTTGAGCTGGTGGAGTCATTTCTTTGGGAGGTGGTGGGTTAGGGGATGGGGGTGGAACAGGCCTTGGGGCTGGCGCATTGCCTGTCTGTCCCCTGCATCCTCCCGCACAGGGACAGATGGACACAGAAACGGATTCTTTCCCTTGTATTGATTTACAAGCATGGAGAATAATAACCCCAAGGAGTGACCAATGCCGGTCGCCATGGACTCTTTGGATGAATTAGTGAATTGCTGAAAGAAGTGATACACACCACGATGAGCGCTTTGGGCTCCAAGGGCAGCTGGAAGCCATGGGAATGTGGTGGTGTTTTTTTTTTAATTGTGATTTGGATGAAAGTTTGGAGAGCAAATTCATTTTCCATACAGCAGCTCACATTTTGTTTCATGACATTGATTGCAATTCCCACAGTGCAACGGCTCTCTTTCCACTTCCTCCCTGTGGTTACCTTTTCCCTGTGTCCTTCTTAGCCACAGGAATGTTGGAGGTAGCAAAGTGGTAACCAGTCTCCAGCAGCACCCCATTGTAGGCATGGGCCCAGAATAAGTGCTGTGGAGATAGCTGTTGAATGGATGAATGAAATGTCTGAATGGATGTTGGTCCAGCCAGGACTTGGCATCACTCAGAGCAGAGGCAAGAGAAGGGCAGGGAGAGTGCAAGACACAGGCTCATCTTGGAGGACTGTTCAGAGCTAGGCCCAGGCGCCTGAAGCAGGACACTGGTTCCCCTCCTCCCTCCTGCCCCAGGCAGCTGCTGGCAGATGACCCCTTCTTCCGGGTGCCGGCTGTAATTCAGGAGCTGTGCACCACACGGGTGCTGGGCATGGAGCTAGCCAGAGGGATCCCTCTGGACCAATGCCAAAGCCTGAGCCAGGACATCCGAAACCAGGTACATGGTCCCAGTGGGCAGTAGGGCAGGCACTGCCCCGGGGGAGCTGGGGGGGAGGGGCCAGGCCCATGGTCTTACTGCATCTGTTCCCTACCCCACCCCACCCCCAAGATTTGCTTCCAGCTCCTGAGGCTGTGTCTGCGGGAGCTGTTTGAGTTCCGATTCATGCAGACGGACCCCAACTGGGCCAACTTCCTGTATGAAACGTCCAGCCACCAGGTTGGTTCCTTGTAGTGTGCATCAGGATACACTAGCCACTTAAACAAGTAGACCCTGATATTCCAGTAAGTCAGGACAATAGTGGTTTGATGTTCATCCGTGGGACAGGGTGGCTGCAGAGTCCAGGGGCTCAGGCTCCTTACCTGTTGTGGTTGTGTTGTCCCCTGGGCCTGGCACTGCTCTGCTTCTAGTGGAAGGGGACACAGAGGCTGAGAGGGTAACCCCTTCTTCACAGCTTTGGCCAGATGTCACCCGTCATTTCCTTTACCTTCCTTTTCACTGATGAGAACCAGTCACCTGGCCTGTCTAGGTGCGGCGGATGCAGGCAAATGGAGTCCTTGGCTTGGCCACTGGCTTCTCAGTGGCATTGTGACCCTGTAAAAGAGGGAGAACAACTTTTGGAAGGGTTAGCCATTCACTAAAGAGCTCTGGGGGTATAGTGGTTAAGGCATTTGGCTGCTAACCAGAAGGTCAGTGGTTTGAACCCACCAGCCACTCCATGGAAGAAAGATGAGGCTGTCTGCTTTTGTGAAGATTGACAGCCTTGGAAATCCTCTGGGGTAGTTCTACTCTGTCCTGTGCGGTCACTATGAGTCAGAATCAACTCGATGGCAGTGGGTTTGGGTTTGGGTTTGATTTATAATGGCGTCCAGCAGACACTGTATTTCTTCATACGGGTTGTGGTCAATAGTTGGAACTCCTGCCCTAGAGAAACTCTCACACGTGTGCCTACAGAGCATCGTGTTTAATAATAGAAGCCAGAAACAACAACAGTGTCCAGCCGCCAGGCTAGTGCTTTGAGATCCATTCACGCAATGAGGTCCTGATACAGCAGTGAGAAATGAATGAACAAGCTCAAAACCATGTAGGCCAGGAACAAGTTGTAGGACAGCAATAGTAAATGCCAGTCAAGTGAAGTTTTAAAACATGCAGAACATGACTGTGTATTGTTTATAGATATATAAGTAGACAATGTATCAGTGTGGGTTTGGGATGATGGGTGCAGTGCTGGTGATACAGTGGGTGAAGCGCCTGGCTGCTAGCCTAAAGGTGGGCGGTTGGAACCCATCAGCCCATTCCCGTGGCAGAAGGATGAGGCAGTCGGCTTCCCTAAAGGTTTACTGCCTTGGAAACCCTGTGGAGCAGTTCTACTCTGTCCTCTAGGGGCGCTGTGAGTCAGAATCCACTAGACTGCAAGTGGTGGGTTGGTTTTTTGTGTGTGTGGGGGGTGATACATGTGATTTCAGGAGCAAGCTAACCTTGGTAGTGGGGCGGGGGTAAGGCATGTGGAGGCTCCCCCTGGCTTGGATATTCTATATTTTAAGCTGAGTGATGGGTTTTGAGGATTTTCATTTTGCTTTTCTATACGTTTTTATTCTCTAGACTTTTCTGTACTCCTAAAACATGCTGTTATAAAACAATTGGGATCACAAAGTAAAAGCCAGGTCCTGCTGACTGCCACGTGGGGGTGGACTGGAAGGGCTGAGGCTGGAGGCGAGGAGCCCAGGCTGGCAGCTGGGCAGGGACCCTGGCTGGAGAGGGCAGGGCCAGGGGTGCGGGGAATAGATCCTGACTGTCCCCCGAGTCAATGGTGGGGCTGTTGATGGCCTCCCCGTATTCCCTTCTCCATCCCCATTCCCAGGTGACTCTGCTGGACTTTGGGGCAAGCCGGGAATTTGGGACCGAATTCACAGACCATTACATCGAGGTGAGTGCCCTGCTCTGGGGCCTCTGAGGGCCGGGGCCCGGGCTGAATGCTGAAGCAACAGTGAGGAGAGACACTAGCTGGAATTGAAAAATAATAACTGGTAGTAATGTAGTAATATTAATAGGAGTTCTGGTGGCGTAGTGCCTAAGGCACATGACTGCTAACCAGAAGGCTGGCGGTGGTTCAAACCCTCCTCAGAAGGAAGGTTGGGCAATCTACTTTTGTAGTGATACCACCTCAGAAGCCCAAGGAGGGGTCGCTGTGAGTCGGATCTGACTCGATGGCAGGGAGTTTGTTTTTCTTGGTTATGGTAATAGCCCTGGTGGCGCAGTGGATAGGCATTCAGCTTGTAACCAAAAGATCAGCAGTTTGAACCTGGCAGAGGCTCTGTGGGAGAAAAACCCCACAAGCTGCCTCCAGTAAAGATCTCAGTCTAGGAAACCTTGAGGGGCGGTTTTAGTCTGTCCTGTGGGTCACCGTGAGTCGGTATCCACTTGCCAGCACACAACAACAGTAATATTAATAGCTAATACATACACAGCACTTAATACTGTGTCAGGCACTGTTCAGGCACTTTCCTTATAGTAATTGATTTAAGCCATGCAGCAACCCTGTGGGGGGGTCAGGACCATTATTAGCCCCATTTTATAAATGCAGTAATGGCAACTCAGAGAGGTTATGTGATTTCACCAAGGGTCACACAGCTGGTAAGTGGCAGAGCTGGGATTCAAATGTAACTAGTCTGGGTCTAGAACCTATGCACCCACCCTTTGACTTCTCCCCTCCTAAGAGAAAGAGTCACAGTGGCCATCTTGTCAGGTCAAACCGCTGCCCCCCTCTGCCCCTTACCACACGCACACACACGCAGGCTGCTCCCTTGGGGTGGCTCTGCCCCTCAGGAAGTGCCCTGGTCACCCCCACCCACCAAGATCCCTTTGCCTCAGAGCACACCATCCCGTTCGTTTGCTGAGATGGAGCTTCAACTCGGCTTCTAATCATTTAGTCATCGGCTCAAACATCCTCTGATATTCCCTCTATGCCCAGGTCTCTGGGTGACGCGGGAGACACACCAGGGACCAAGCCAGGTCCCCACTTTCCCAGAGCTCACAGCCCAGTGGGAGACAGTGATGGCCCAGAGTGGTCAGGGCTGGGATGGGGGAAGCACAGGAGGCTGGGGGAGTCCAGAAGGGGTGTCTGACCCAGCCAGGGTCGGTGAGGGCTTCCTGGAGGCTGGTCTCAACCGGAGGGATGAGGACGACCAGCTGGGAAGGGAGTGGGAGGGTGTTCCAGACAGACGACACATGCAGAGGCCACGAGGCACGAAGCAGGGCTGTTCCTGTCAGAGCAGTGTGTCTTAGTCACCCAGCGTGGCTGTAACACAGATACCGCAGGGAGGTGGCTCCGAGGAACAGCAGCCAATTTCTGGCCACTTCTGGAGGCTGCATTCCAGACAGGTCTCGGCTGTGTGGGTTCCTTCTTGGTCTGTCGCTCCAGGCATTCTTTGGCTCATAGCAGATCCTCATATGGTGTCTATCTTCCCCCTGCATGTGTCTCCAGGTCGATTCTGGTCTTTTCATAACTCAGAAGTGGTTAGGTTTAGGGTCCACCCTACACTGGTATGACCTCATTAATATAACAGAAGTAAAACCCCGGTTTCCAAATGAGGTCACACCCACAGGCACAGAGGTTAGGGTTTCAACACACTTTGAGGAGCCCCAGTTCAGTCCGTAACACAGTGCTTCTCCCTATTTAACGTACATGTGAAACACAAGTTCTAGTCAAGTGGGTCTGGAGTTGGCATAAGATTATGCATTTCTAATGCACTCCAGGTAAGGCCAGTGCCACCTGTCCAGGGACCACACTGGGTGGAGAGGCCTTCCCTCCAGCAGCTGAGCACAGTCACGATTTCTGCTACCCAGGGATGCCCCAGTGGACCAAAAGGAAGTCCACATTCTGACTGGGAGGGCAGGTGGGGGTCAGAACAGGTGCCAGAGACGAGGCTGGAACCCATCACCCCGGGGTTTACAGGCCATGCTTGGCAGATGCTACTTTATTCTGGTGCACTGGGGAGCCCTGGGAGAGATTTGAACAGGGGAGGGACCTAGTCAGAATTAGAACGCTCCCTCTGACTAATGATGGTCTTTAAGACCAGTTCCCAGAAAGGCTGTGGAGAGGGGAAGAGGATGCAGTTGGGAGACTCCTTAGTGGACAGTTGAGAGCCAGTGGCTGGGGGGGGGGGCAGAGATGGGCGGCAGGATGAGGCCCAGCGCTCTGGCTGGGGATGGAAAACGGTGGCCCTACTCCTGAGATGGGAACAGGAAGGCGGAGCTGATGTTCTACCCCAGGACCCTTGGGGCCCTCTGTAGGTCACAGAATGAGGCACAAAACCAAGGGCACTGGGGGTAGTTTGGCCATCTCAGTGCTCCCACCCCTCCCAGGCTGTTAGCAAGGCCCTGCTGCCACCTCCTCAGCCTTTTCTAGTCAAAGAGCCCTGTCACACCAGGCCCCCTGAGGACCACAGGCCTGACAGATGGCCAGACAGGCCCTGGCAGGGGGAGCTGAGGCCCAGCATGCCGCAGGAGTCAGAAGAGAAGGGTTAGATCCAATCCAGTGCCCCCTGCCCCACGGCAAGGCAGCACAGTGGTTAAGGGTTTGGCTGGGGGAGACAGACTAACCCAAGTTCCAGGCTTGGCCATGCCCCACCCCCAGCCCAGGCCTGCTTCCTCTTCTACGAGGTAGGGACCCTCATACACACCCTGTCATAATAGTAAACCCCTTGCTGTCGAGTCCGATTCAGAGTGATAAACGCTTGTGATGGGATAGCGCTTCCTGCTTCCTATAGGCACAGGGCTAAGCGCTCCCCGTAGAGCACTCCTTTATCCTCAAAACTGCCTCGGAGGCCTGGAGGGAGAGCAACTTCCCTAGAGCCCTGAGCCAGCAAGTGGCAGAGCCAGATGTCTTAGTTATCCGCGCGCTGCTGTAACAGAAACACCCCGAGTGGGCAGCATTAGCAAACACACTGCCTCACAGTTGAGGAGGCTAGAAGGCCGCATTCATGCAGCTGGTTCTGTGGGAAGGCTTTCTCTCTCTCTGGGCCCTGGAGGAAGGTCCCAGTCTCTTCCAAGCTTCTGCTCCCTTGCAGTCTTCCTGTGCTGTGGCTTCTCTTCCTGTCTGCTCTGCCGGCTTGGCTTGGCTCGGCTCGTTTAATCTCTTACATCTCAAAAGAGATTAACTCAAGACACCCTACACTCATCCTGTCTCGTTAACCTAACAACCCATCCCCACATGGGATCATAACCACAGGCTTAGAGGCGAGGATTTTCAACTCATTTTGGAGGACATCATTCAGTGGGTCCCTAACAGCAGGGTTCAGGCCAGGCCAGGCCTTCCCCAGCCTCCCTAAGTGAGCAACCAGCTCTACAGAGGCGCAGTCCACACCCAGATGTGCCATGGGTTCACCGAGTGCCTCCTGGGGGCCAGGCTCTGTGCATGTGCGACTCAACCCAGCAGGGCTCCCTGCTCACACTGGCTCAGAGTCCAGTGTGGGTGACAGGCATCAACCAGGCGATCCTAGAGACGGCACAGTGGCAACCTGCACCTGGAGTTCGGGGTCACGGTCCCCTTCTTGTCCAGCTCAGTATTTGGACACATGCCCAGCACCTGACCCATGTTTTCTTCTGAGCCGTTTCACTGCGGTAGCGTCCAGGCAGGTGGGCAGACCCCCCGGCCACCCTCCCCCAGGCTTTACAATGGTCTGGAGGGAGAAGCACACTGACTGGGCGGCTGTGGGGGAGAGGCTTCTGGGTATGAGGCTCAGGCGTGTGAGAGTGGAGGGAGTACGGGGAGGACACCCCCACCTCGAGCCCCTGCTGGGCTTTGACCCTCTGCTCCACACCCGCCTCCCCAGGTAGTGAAGGCTGCAGCTGATGGGGACAGAGACCGGGTCCTGCAGAAATCCCGAGACCTCAGATTCCTCACCGGCTTTGAAACCGAGGTTGGGAGACACTGGGGGGTGGGGGCCTGGGCTCTATTCCGAGGGCTTTGGGGAGGGAGGCGGAATGGAGGCTGCTCACTACCCCAGAGCCCTGGGGAAATGGGCACTTTGGGGAGTGGGGGCTGCTGCTCTCTTCTGCACTGCAGGGTGCGTGTCTGGTGGGAGAGGATGTGAGGAGCTGCTTGTTTAGGGGGATCAGAGCCTGCTAAGGGAGCCCCGATAGCACAATGGTAAAAGTGCTTGGTTGCCAACTAAAGCCTGGTGGTTCGAGGCCACCACGAGCTCTGAAGGAGGAAAGCGCTGGTGGTCTGCTCCCTAGAACTAGGGCCCAGGGAGCCCCCTGGAGAAGTGCTGCTCTGCGTGTGGTCACTGTGACCTGGAGCCCATTCAGCAGCACACACCAACAGCTTGTCTGCCAAACGGTCTGAAGAACTGGGGTCTGCTTATTACTTTTGGGGGAGGTGGGAGCTTCTTACGCGTGCTAGCGGCTCTGGAGGAGGCGGGGAGCTGCTGGTCTCCTCTGGGCTAGGTGCAGAGCTGGTGTGTCCTCACTGGGGCGCCCGTTACCCACCCTGCTCCAGGCATTCTCAGACGCCCACGCGGAGGCAGTGATGATCCTGGGGGAGCCTTTTGCCACGCCGAGCCCCTACGACTTTGGGGCAGGGGACGCTGCCCGCCGCGTGCAGGACCTCATCCCCGTGCTGCTGCGGCACCGGCTGCGCCCACCCCCTGAGGAGACTTACGCCCTGCACCGAAAGCTGGCAGGGGCCTTCCTGGCCTGCGCCCGCCTGGGCGCCCGCATTGACTGCCGGGACCTCTTCCAGGACACCTACGACCGCTACTGGGCCTGTCGCCAGAGATAGCCACAGCCCACAGCCTGCTGACCAGAGGGAACCTCTGGCACCAAGAAGCCCCCGTGCCCCTCCCACAGCAGCCGCCATCCCCTGTTCCTTCCCCCTTTACTCCGCGTTGGAAGCAACTTGGTCTGCCCTGTGATGCTCACACCCTTCCTTAGCCCCGAGGCTGGGAACCCTGGAACTGGGGAACTCAACTTCCTGCCCCAGACCGCGGCCTCCCCACTCCAGAGTGGGCACCCCGCAGCCCTGAGCAGGGGAATCCGTGAATTTGTCTCCATCTGAGGAAGACCGTGGCCCCCAGCGAGCCACCCTGAAGACCCAGACTCCTGGAGGGGGCCGCTCTCATCTGCTCAGGTCACCCAGGACCCAGCCGCGAAAGGGGAGGGCCGGTGCTCGGTGGAGCGGCCCTCACCTTTGTCCCCCTCCCTCCGCCACCAGCTGCTTAACCGCTTCAGGCGCTCTGTGATTCGGGGCGGGGTTTGAACCTTCAGTCCTAATAAAAGCAGCCCTCCTCCTCCCCCAGCTCTTTTCTCTGCGCTGGGGGCGGGGAGGGGGAGGAGTTAGCAGGCGGCCTCCAGGTGCAGATGGTCAGCCCCCCCCCCTTGTCTGAAAGCCCCAGCCCTGCCTGGGCCATCTGTTTACGGGAACCTCCTTCTCCCCGTTACCCCCCCCCCCAACGTGCTGACCACCTGCTCGAAGAACTACAGCAGCTGAGGCCTACCGCCCCCACCCCTCAGGCTGCCTCTTGGGCTCCCGGCTTCCCCTCAGCTCCCAGCAACCTCGCCTTTGCTAATGGGCCTTAATGTCCCGGCCAGCTGCTTTGCCAAACCCACAGGATTCGGGAGGGAGGGGGGGCGCGGCGGCGGAGGCCAGAACCGCGGCCTGGTCCAGCCCGGCGCCCCCGCCCCCGAAGCCGCGACGGTCGTGTACTAGGACGCAGGGGTCTGCTCATTCCCCCTCCCCTTCCTTGTGAAAAGTGCCTCGTCACCGCTTCCGCCCGCCCCCGCCGTGCTGGGAGAACCTTGGGGTTAGCGGGAAGATCGGGGCATATGGAGAGACAAGGCGTCTCCCGAAGCAACTATTTTGGGCGCGGAACCAGAGGGGATCTAAGGTCAGGGGTCACGGAAGGGAAGAAAATCCACGCCTGGGTGGACACTGGGGGAGGACTCAAGCGAGGCTCCCCGCGAACTCAGCCAGCGACTGGCCAGTGGGCGTGGTGGGGCGGTGGCTGCACCAGGGAAGGCGAGGCCGTATTTGCGTATGGGCGTGACCTGCGGGCTGGGGGCGGGGCTTAAGCCGGCAAGGCACAGGGCCGGGGCGGGGCCTTCTTCTTTTACAGCCGGCGGCAGGCCGATGGGCGGGGCCGGGGCGGGGAGCTGAGCAGGAGAGACTCTCCCCCACCCCCGCAACGGAATCCTCTGGGGAGCGGAGCAGGCTCGCGCGTGTGCATCCCGCACCATCTCCCGGCCTCGGGCTCTGGCCCGCGTCAGACCAAGCTGCCGCCGCCTCCGCCGCCAGAGTAGCAGCAGCAGTACTCGGGGATCCGGGCCCAGCCGAGGCCGCGGGAGGCGGGGGCGCCCGGGCCCTGGATGTCCCGCAGCGCGGCGGCCAGCGTGAGAAGGGCGGGAGAGGGGGGCTCGGGGTGGGCGGCGGCGCTGCCGCTGATGTGGCAGAGGATGGGAGGCGGCCGCGACGTCCGGATGGAGAGAGGGTGCCACGGCTGAAGAAGGTGGTCCTGGGCGGGGGTCAGGTCAGGCCCCCAGAACCAAAGCTTAGGAGACGGGGCTCTCGGTCACAGGCCTTCTCTTAGCAGGCCCCAGGGGTAGGGGTTCCCCAAAAAGCCAAGGACAGGGGACTAGAGATTCTTGGTACAAGCCTCTAGGCGAGGTTGTGGGGATGGAGTCCCCCTGACACAGCCTACCTATCAAGCCAAGGCCTTGCAAAGGAGATTCCAGACACCACCCCCACCCCTCCTGCGGGAGGGGACTCTCCGAGCTAGGCAAGGTCTTGAGGATGGGGTCCCCGGCACAGCTTCCCCACCAAGCCAAGGCCTGGGGCGACTCCAGGCACAGTTCCGCCCCCAGGCCTCAGAGACATCACAGCACAACGTGCCCCCAATGTTTGGGCGGTGTCCCAGGCACAACCCGCTCTCAAAACAACGCTTCCCCCTTGTCTTGCACCCCCTCATGCCTAAGTAAGGAGAATTTCAGGCACAGCCCCCCCCAAGGCTTGGTCAGGAGTCCCAGGGCACAGGTTCCCTGGGCCACCCCCTTTGTCCCTGGGGCTGCCCAGCTGTCTTGGAGTGGCCCCGCCCGCAGACAATGCGTCGCCTCCCCCTCCTGGCCCTGGCCCCCCAGGCTGCAGAATCCAGGCTGGGCTAGGGGCGGCTCCCCAGGGACCCAGTGCAACCCCGTCTGTCTGGTCTGTCTGTCTGCTGCATCTGTGGTGATGGTGTCTTTGTGTGTGGTACCTGGGGGTGGGGGGCTGGCATGCGATGGGGAGGTGGCTGGGAGTGTGACCCGCGTTTGTTTGACTGTGTGTATGTGTGCTGCAGCTGGTGACTGAGGAATCCTGTGCTGTGTGGTTGTAAGTGTGTGGTTGTGCCTCTGTGTGTGTGTGACAGCTGCTCACTATATAGGACCCTGTGGTTCTTTTAGTCTGTTTTGAGTGTGTGCGTGGTTGTAACAGTTTGGTTGTATCTGTGATGTTGTGATGTCTTTTGTGGCCTTGTGTCTGTGTGTCTTGGTACCTGGAACCAGGTATGTGACAGTGTATGTGAGTCTGGGGTTGGGCATGGACTGACTGAAGGTGTGGGTAGAGTTATGGCTGTGAGTTATGTCCATGTGTGACCCTCCTATTGCCTGTGAATGCTCATGGTTACATCTATAACTGACTTCATATGTGTATCACACATATGTCTGACACACAACTGTGCAACTCTGGGTGTGTGACTGTCATTGTGTCTGAAGTCACATTGTGCTATGTGACAGGTTGTGTGATGCCCCTGTCCCTGAGTGATTGTATTTATAGTTGTGCATGAGTGCTTTTGGTTATGCATCTGACTTAGTGTCTTGAACACCTGGTAGACTACTATGTGGCATGTTTAATTATGTGTGACTAAGGCTACATATGCGTCAGTGTGGTCTATGCGTAGCAGCACCAGGTAACTGTGTTGGTCAGGGGGATGTATGTGACAGTGGCTTCTCTACGCCTGTGTGTGACCTGCATGTCTGTGACCCTGGGTGGCTGGATGTACGTGTGTCTGTAGCCGTGTGGTTGTTCTTATCCTATGTATTTGTATGTGCGCATTGGACTACTTGTATTTGAGTCTGTGATTTGGTGACAGGGTGACAGGACTGTTTGTGGCCCTGTTCGGACTGAGTCTACCGTGTAAACCCAGCCTTTGTGCCACACCTGGGCCTCTGCATTTCTGTGCACATACCTGACTGTGCTCATAGTATGTGACACTGTGTGCATAAGCCACCAGGTGGGAGAGACTGTGCATGGCTGCCAGGTGTGACTTTGTGTGCTGGCCTCCACAGGGCTGTGGTGTATATATGAGTCCATATATCTGTGTGATTTATGTGACTTGTGTGTGTGCATGAAGAGGAGCGTGTTTCTGTGATGATGTAAGCACATATGGGATGTCCTGTGTTGGTAGTATGGTGTGACCTGTGTCTGAGTAATAGACGCTGACACTTTGTGACTGAACATACATGACCATTTTGGAAACTGTGCATGGCTGTGACCCTATGTGTTACAGAGAAGCACATGTCATATTCAGATCCAGCCACTGGTTTGGTCACAGCCATACTGTGTGATTGTATGCCGGTGACTGTCCATACAGGTGTTGCTGTCATAGAAGACTGTGTGTTGTGACTGACACTATGACCAAACGTATATATCTGGGACTGTGTATGTGTACAGACTATGTGACCAAAAAGGTGTGTTGCTGTGACTGGTGTGGTCAAGGTGTCCCTGTGTCTGTGGGTGGTTATACACGTGGCTGTGTCTGGGGGTGACTCTGTGTGACCAAATGTGTGTATGTTTGAGCATGTTCTTGACTAGGTGTAAACATGTATCTGTGGAGACGTGACAAACGTGTGTAGGTATGGTTGTATCTAGGTGTGACCGGGTGCTTATGGGTGACCAGATGGGTGAACTGTGATTGGGTGTGACTATGTCTGGTGGGGTGATGTGAATATTGTTGGGTGCCTGAGGAAATGTAACTGTCACTGGGTGTGACTACATGTGTGGCTGTGACTACGTGTGTGGCTCTGGTGAGTGCCTGAGCCCTGCTCTTTGTACATGACTGAATTTGTGAGTTATTAAATAGAAGGAGCTGGTGTGACCAATGTTTGTGGCAGGTCTTCGTGGGCTGTGATTCTTCATACATGTTTAGACAATGTCTGTAGCAGGGTCTGTGTGTTTGGGAACGTGAGTGTGTGACCAGATGTTTGTAGTAGCAACTCTGTGCCTGGGATTGGTTATGTGTATGTGTGTGGTCTCATGTGTATACTGTCGTGTCTGTGCCTAACTGTGCCCAGGTGTTGGGGACAACTGAAGACATTAGTTGGCTACACACGTGTGACTGTGTTTGCGTGCAGCCCTGGATGTGTGACTAGAGGCCAAGGCCACTCCTTCCTCACAACATCCCCTTGGGTACTGAGGGCCTCATGAGGCCAGGAGATCCCCATCCAAGGCCCCCCAAACACGTCCACTCCTTCCTGGACCCTGAGGACCAGGTGGCTGGTTGCCCTGGATACCGTTACTATGGCAGCCAGGGTCTTCCTCAGGGAGCCTGAGATTGGGCGTGGGGGTCAGGTGCTGTCCAGAGGTGGGGTGGAGAAGGGAACTAAGCCTCATCCCAGGTGAGCGTCTCATCTTATCCCTCCCTTGGGCAGGGTGGACCCAGGAGGCCTGACCAGCATCTGCCCCCAGCCCCCTGTGGGGCCTTGGGGCCCCCTGCAACCTCCAGGACGGAGCCAGGTGAGTGACCAGCTTGGGAGAGGCCAGGGGCTGAGTGGGCAGGTGGGTTTACCCAGCATGACCAGAGGGACTGCCCCCAGTCACACAGGCTTAAGCACGTGTATGACTGGAGACCCTCACCAACCTTCTCCCTGTCCAGGGGCCACCTAAGCCACACTCATTCACAGACATGCACCCTAGACTATCACACACACGTCTGGACACTCATATCCTGTACCAACATTCCCACACCACAGGGGCAGAGTCACACTACTGCCACAGACTGTTATCACATACCAGACACTCATATCCATGAACATACAGACACATGCACACACACACACACACAAGTAACAAGCTTTCTGGGATCCACACACGTGTGTGAATACCATGGCAGGGACACTGGGAGACATGCTTAAGGAGACTGACACACCAGCTTTCAAAGACGACAATGGTTGAAGACGCCCCTCAAGGACAACTGACTCACCAACATATCACCTCTTATAGACAGCAACAGATGTAGACACCCCTCAGGGACAACATTCACTAATGCAGAAGCTCTCATATACAACAATGGACATAGACACCCTTCACGGACGACATTCACTAACATACAAGCTGTCATAGACAACAGACGTAGACACCCCTCAGGGACGACATTCACTAACATATAAGCTGTCAGACAACAACACACGTAGACACCCCTCATGGATCACAATCACTGACACCACCAGTTCTCACAGACAAAAACAGATGTAAGTACCCCTCACAGACAGTATTCACTAACACACTCACAACCACTCTTAGACATAGCTGGCCTTTAGTGACAGCCTTCAGGAACACACACCCATAGACAACAACCACACTTTGGGACACAGATCCCCACACCCATAGACAACAACCACACTTTGGGATACAGATTCCCTCATGAACAGCATTGACAGACACACACCGTGAACAGCCATTGTCAGACATGAACTCTTCTGTCCAGCCTTCAGAGAACGTACACTCGCCGACACCATTCGAGGATACACACTCGTAGACAACAGCCACATGCTTGCTTGCTCCCAGGGAGTACCCCCATCTGCTGTTGGTGCTCCCAGTCCTGGGTGTCCCCTCACCATCATACCTCTCACCCTCCTTCTTGGACTCTTCAGTGTGGCTCATCAATCAAGGAACACTGTCCTGGTGGGTGGCCACCTCACACACACACACAGCCATACCTCTGACAGGTGCTGGCACACACTGGCCCAGGGGCCGTGCCTTGGAGTAGACATAGTCATTATAGAGGGGCTGTCTCAGAGGCACAGAGACAGGCCCCCATCTCCTACACCCTTCGGATCCTACGCCCTATCCTCAACCCTGGAGCCTCTGAATCCGAGCCCTGTGCCCCACACACCTGACTCCAGTGCCCCTGACTCCTGCAACTCCCAATTCCAGTGCCCTCTGATTGCCCCATTTCCTGACTCTCATACCCCTAAAATCCTGACCTCATAACCTTGACCTGTATGCCCTCCAGTGCCTTGACTTTCCATCCTTTGGTTCCTCATGCCTCTTGACCATCACATCCCCCAACCTCCAAACCCCTCAAACCTGTGACCCATGACCCCCACTCAGGCCTCCACATTCCTTGGCCCTATGTCCATTGCCCCTGTGCTCACTCTCCTTGCCTTCCAGTGCCCCCTGTGTCCATTGAACTCCATGTCCCTTGACCACAAACTGTAATCCTAGGCCCCCTGAATGCCATGTCCTCTCACCCAGTGGCCCCCTAGCCCATGACCAATTCCCATGTTCTCTGACCCCATGCTCCTAGTACCCCTTGCACCCTGTGCCCCAGATCCATGCCCCTGTCCTCTGTCACCAGACGGCGCAGGCACCATGAACAAGTTACGTCAGAGCCTGCGGCGGAGAAAGCCAGCCTATGTACCTGAGGCCTCGCGCCCGCACCAATGGCAGGCGGACGAGGACGCAGTACGGAAGGGCACGTGCAGCTTTCCGGTCAGGGTGAGTGGGCGGGGCCTGGGCGGAGGGGCGGGATGGCCCCGCCTCTTCCGGGTTATGGGTTTGTTCCGGGTTACAGCTGGCTCTGCCAAAGCCGTATATTGCAGAAGATGCTTTACGTTCACAAAGAACAGCGAAGCCTACCGGAGCAGGGCGGCAAGTGCCAGGTCTTTTGAGGGTGGCGTTAAAAAATACAAGAGACATTCACTTACGTCGGGCAGATGTTACTTGGGAAATACTGATGAGGGAGGGGGTCCCCAGTTCAGCCAGGACTCACAATGTCCAAAGAGAACAAAAATTCTGTACCGTTCGCAGAGTCCACTACTATGGAACACTGGTTTATGACAACCAAGAGCGTTTACACAACACTTTTAGATTGTGGCGAACAGGAGTCATTACATGGGCTGTGAAGCTCAGCGGACTGGGGCTCCACACCCCCTTCAGCCCCTTCCAGGCTGTGTGGCAAAGGACAATGGTCATAGCCCCTCTGCCTTTTCATCCCTTTTCCCGGAAGTAGATTCTGAGTGTGAGGGATTCATTCAGAAGGTGCAGGAAATGCTGGTGGCAGGGAGGAAGGGAAGACCATCCATAAGGTGTATTAAAACTGCAGCTGTGGGCAATTGAAGCTTAATCCCACGGAAGAACTCAGGGAAACAGCATAGAGCGAGCACCTCAGCCACCCCACAGGGTGAGGGAGCTCGGTCTATGGACACCAATCCCATCAGTCATTGCATTGGGTCAGACCTGTTGTAAGGGTGGCTGAGCAGTCTTATGCAGCCTGAGGGGGGGCACCTTCAGGCACACAGATACTGGTACTCAGGGACAACAGTAGGGCCTAGGAATGTGGGCAGGACCACGAATCCTCTGCTATGCATTGTGTTTTGGTTTTGCTATGTGTATAAACCATTGAAAAACCTAACCTTTTGCCTTGCAGTTAATTCTGATTTGTGGCAACCCTCTAGGATAGAGTAGAATGGTGCAACCCTATTGCACCATAGGGTTTCCAAGGCTCCAAGCTCCAAGCTGCCACATCTTTCTTCCGTGGAACAGCTGGTGGGTTCCAGCCACTAACTTTTTGGTTCACGGCCAAGTGCTTAACCACCGCCACCAGGCCCCCTCTCATCTGTGTAACTGGGTAAAGATGGAGTATCCACCTTGTAGAGATGAGATGCTGAGTAAATGAGTCGTTTGTATAAAACGCTTGGAACGTTGCCTGGTGCCTCTCAAGTAGTCAGGTGAAAGTAAGAATTACCGACGACTGCTTATTTCTGGTCCTCCTGTCCCCTCCCTCAGTACCTGGGCCACGTGGAGGTGGAGGAGTCCCGGGGGATGCATGTGTGTGAAGATGCTGTGAAGAAGTTGAAGGCGGTGAGTGAGGGGCTGGAGCCAGGGAGGGGGCAAGCTCAGGCCCACTAAGGCAGGCCTGACCCGGCCTCCTTGTCCCCCCTCCCTGTTAGATGGGCCGGAAATCTGTGAAGTCTGTCCTGTGGGTGTCAGCCGATGGGCTCCGAGTGGTGGATGACAAGACCAAGGTAAGGGACCCATGGGGGTGGGCTCCATTTGCCCTTCTCCACTCTCTGCTGGAATCAGGGCCAAGGATGCCTTCTCACCCACCTCTGGGATGTCCCTCCCTCAGGGACCTTCTGGACTGTACCATGTGCTCTTGGCTCACCTCACAGTTGTAATTCAGAGAAGGTTCCTGTGCTATTTGCAGGGAAGAGCATGGCTGTCGGAGCCTGGCTCACCTGCTTAAAGCTGGGTGACCCTGGGTCCGAGATTTCATCCCTCTGTGCCTCAGGGGCTCTGGTGGCACATTGCCTAAGGCATTTGACTGCTAACCAGCAGGTTGGTGGTTCAAACTCACCACCCACTCCTCAGAAGGAAGATTGGGAATTCTACTTCCTTAAAGATTTACCAGAAACCCAATGGGGGTCACTATGAGTTGAAATTGACTTGATGGCAGTGGGTTTTGTTTTTTGTGCCTTAGTTGCCTTGGCTATAAAATGGGGATAAAAATAGACCCTATTATGAAATGAGAAAATATAGATAAAATGTTTAAAACCATGCGTGATGCATCATAAGCGTTCAGGTCAGGGAGTGTCAGTCTGCTTGGCTGGATATAGAGCTCTATGGAGCCAGCATCTGGGTGTCTGTTTGCTCACCATTGACTCCCCCACCTGGGCCAGAGATTGCCAGAGACACCCAGACATGATGGGAATTGGGTTAACGAATGAACACATCATCACATTTGCATAGGATGTTCCTTTTGCCTGAAATACTGTTCCCTGCCTTTTGCTTAGTTGGTTTCTCTTCTGGGAAGCACTACCTTAGTTACTGGATGCAGGCTCGCACAGGCCCCTGTGCCTCCCCCATCCAGGCTCTAACCATGCTGCCCGCACCTTCCCTGTCACAGACCTGATCCCTCTGCCTGCACCTCCCCGTCCTGCCCTAGCCCTCCACCTGTGCCTCCCCTGTCCCAGCCAGACCCCTCCACCACTGAGGTGGGAGCCCATGCAGGCAGTGTCTGTGCTGTCTCAGTGAGTACTGGGTCCCTGCCCACTCGGGACTGGCCACTGAGCAGACGCTAAGGGAATGTTGAATGAATAAATGAAAATGCATCCGCCTCCCTCTCCTGACCTCCCTGGCCTTCCCCAGGACCTGCTGGTAGACCAGACCATTGAGAAGGTTTCCTTTTGTGCTCCTGACCGCAACCTGGACAAGGCTTTCTCCTACATCTGCCGTGACGGGACCACTCGACGCTGGATCTGCCACTGTTTCCTGGCCCTGAAGGACTCTGTGAGTACTGCCAGAGCCCGCCACTCCTCTCTCCCAGGCCCTGGCATCCCAGCCCCACCCCAGCTGGCTGCGTGGACTCTGGCCAGGCCCTCCCCTCTCTGTGTTCCGTTTCCTTATCTGGAAAGCGGGTGTCATCACAGTTCCTGATGTTTGTTCCTGGAGGCCCCGGGTGGTGCATATTGTCATGCACTCAGCTGCTGTCCGAAAGGTAAGGTCGAAGGTTGGAGCCCACCCGGACACACCTTGGAAGAAAGGCCTGGTGACGTACTTGTGACATATCAGCCTCTGAGAGCCCTGTGGAGGCCAGTGCTCCTCTGACCCCCCAGGGTCGCCGTGAGCCAGAACCACCTTGATGGCAACTGGGAATGGCTGTTGCTGATCTAGAAAATTACTGTGGGTCTCAAGTAGGTTAATACAAAGCATTCAAGTCAACGTGCAGCACGTAAGAAGTGCTCACGGATGCGCTGGTGATCTTTATCATCATTCTCAGTAGTTGTGGATGTTTCTGGGACTTCTCTCATGGAGGAACATATGTGCACACGATAAAGCTCAGAGACCTTCAGGGCATACAACTCGTGAACTTTTTTTTTTTTTTTAATTGTGATTGGGTGAAAGTTTACAGAGCAAATTCCCTTTCCATACAGCATTTCACACATGTTGTCTCATGACAGTGATTGCAATTTACCCCAATGCAACAGCTCCCCTCCCACTTCCTCCCAACAGTCACCTCTTCCGTGTCCATCCCTCCATGCACTCCTGCCCCCTGAGCTGTCTCCCTGTGCATAAGCAGACCTTCTTTCTCCCATGATGTTCTCTCCAAGGAGTATATCTACCTAGTGTAAATGTTCAACTCATATGCCTGTCTTTTGTTTGGCTGGAAGCCACAGGTGTGGGTTCAATTCCAGACATGAAGGGCAGCTAGGAACCATAGTCTCAGTGGTTCCATTAGGCTCTATCAGATCAGCAATCCTGGTCCCCCCTTTGTTTTCCTTTTATGAAATGATTTAGAGTTTTGTTCTGCATTGTTCTTCCTCTCTATCGAGGATCTCCTACATAGATCCCTCTCCTAGTGGTTGACAGTGGTCCCCGGGCACCATCTAGTTTTTCTGGTCTCATAGTTGTATAGGTTGGAGATCACATGGTGTACCAGTCATGAGGACTAATTGTTTCCATGAGTCTTTGGTTTTCTTCCTTCTTCTTTGCTCTGGATGAGGAGAGACCCATCATTGCATCTAGATGGCTGCTTGGAAGCTTTTAAGATCCTGGTCACTACTTGGCAAAGTAGGAGGTGGAACAATGTTTTGTGTTGTATGTTATGCCAATTAAGCTTGATGTTCCCTGTGAGTATGGTCCCATAGCGCGCGAACTTTTGCCTACGTGCAGATCCCACCCAGATCAAATCCCTCTCAGAAAACACCCCTCAACGTCAGTCTCTACTCATTTTGCCTGTGGTTCTAGGAGGTCAAGAAGGGAGAGTCTCTCTGAGAACCCGGTGAAAGTCTTAAATAGACCCTCTTCTCAGCAACATTCACACTGTAGCAATTTTGAGGCTTGTGACAAAAAACCCATGTAACAGTGGTTTCAATAAGATAGAAATTTGTCTCTTTCATGGAGATGAAATCCAGAAGTAGTCAGGGAAGCGTTGGTGGGGTTTGACCATCATGAGCTTCTGCAGTTCTTTCTTTTAAAGAAAAACTTTTATTGTGATTTGGGTGAAACTTTGCAAAGAAAACTCATTTTTTGTACAGTGGTTCATACACATTTCGTTTCATGACATTGACTGCAGTTCCACATAAGTAACAGCTCTCTTCCCACTTCCTCCCTGTGGTTTCCTCTTCCCTGGGTCATTCCCTTCCATGCACTGCCCCCTGCCCCCAGCTGTCTCCCTGTGCAAACACTGCCCTTCTGGTCTCCCACGATTGATCTCTCCAAGGAGTGTATCTACCTGATGTAAATGTTCAGTCCATATGCTTGTCTGTTGTTTGGCTGGAAGACACAAGAGTGAGTTCAGTTCCAGACCTGAAGGGTAACTAGGGACCATATTCTCAGGGGTCTCACCAGTCTCTCAGACCAGCCAACCTGGTCTTTTTTTTTTTTTTTTATGATTTTGAGTTTTGTTCCACATTGTTCTCCCACTCTATCTAGGATCTCCTGCACCAATCCCACTCTGACAGTGATAGCTGGGCACCATCTAATTCTTCTGGTCTCATAGTCATATAGGCTGAGGATCACATGGTCCTCTAGTCCCTTGGACTAATTGTTCCCATGAGTCTTTGCTTTTCTTCATTTTTCTTTGCTCTGGATGAGGAGAGACCCATCGTTGCATCTAGATGGCCACTTGGAAGCTTTTAAGACCCCATTTACTACTCACCAAAGTAGGATGTAGAACAGTGTTGTTCTGTAGTATGTTATGCCAATTGAGCTTGATGTCCTCTGCGACCATGATCCTGAGCCCACAGGTCTAACTCCTTGCTCCTTCTGGGTAGCTGGCTGTGGCCAGGAAGCGACCACGACCTTGCCCCTTGTCAGCCCTACTGTATACCCAGACCTCCTTACAGTGCATACAGATATGCTTTCTCCAGCTCCTTTGATTTGTTGCTCCATTGCCACGTGGGGCTTCCACCCCATGATCCAAGGTAGATGTGCTGGCTCCAGCCTTCACTCTTCATTCCAGCCAGCACGGAGGAGGGAGCATGAAGAGAGGCACACTCCTCCTTTTTGGGAGGTGCACAGCATATCCCTTTACATCCTATTGGCCAGAAGTCTCACGGACAAACCTAGCTACAAAAGATGGTGGAAAATAGAGTCTTATCCTACCCTGGGCCCTGGACCCTGACTTCAGACCCCACCCAACTCTGATATGAAGCCACAGTCTCAGCCCCCTATTTCAGCCAGTGTTCTTTGGTAGCCAGCAACAGAAACTAATCTAACAAACTTACCCCAAAGGGAAGCGTATGAGAAATCTCACCAAATTGAAGCAAGTCTGAATCATTTGTCATCAGAAAGGGCAGAGGGCCGGGCAGCCCTAGGAGCTATTCCTTCAGGACCCCACTGTGACAATGACTCTATCTCTCAGTCCTTTGGCTTCAGAGTCTCATGAGGGACCAGCTTCATTTGGTCACTTTTCTTGGCCTTGGAGGGTGGAACACCAACTGACTTACACAGTGTGGAAGAGGAGTTTCCAAAGCAAAATTGGGGTACTTTTGCCAAATGCAGGGGCCATGGATACTGAGAAAGTGCAATACACCTCTTCGTCACAGACCCTCACAGTCTTTCCTTAAGAAGTACTCATCTTCTTTTCCTTCATATTCCAGAAATTCCTACTCCAAATAGCTCTGAGCCTTCAAAACTAACTGGTCAGTACACCCAAGCTCCCCTCACACACAGTTCCAGACCTGAAGTCATGGACGACAAAGTTGAGTGGGTTGATACTGATTAGCAGGGGCTGGTGTGGAGGGATCTGAAACCCACCCCCACCAGTTTCTGTCAAGTAGAGTCCAACTCATGGTGACCCCATGTGTGTTTGAGTGGAACTGTGCTCCATAGGGTTTTCAATGGCTGAGTTTTCAGAAGTACATCTCCAAGATTTTCTCCTGAGTGGTCTCAAACCTCCAGCCTTTCGGTTAGCATTGTGGCGCAGAGCTAAGGCATTTGACTGCTAACCGGAAAGTTGGCGGTTCAAACCCACCAGCCACTCCATGGAAGGAAGACTGGGCTATCTACTGTAAAGATTTACTGCCTCGGAAACCCAATGGGGGTCACTGTGAACTTAAAATTACAGTCATTTTTCGCTCATGGTTTCTGTAGGTCAGGCATTGGGGAAGGGCTTGACTTAGTGATCTGCCTCCAGGGTTCCTTACTCTGTTGTAATCAGACTGTCTGGAGCGCTAACAGTGGGAGGCTGACCAGACTCCTCTCTCTCTCCGTGTAGTGTCAGGACCTCACCACAGTCTTTCCAACCTGGCAGCTTCAGGATGGCTGGGCTTCTCATGTGGTGGCTGAGGCTCCACACACCTGAGAGCAAGTGAGCCAGGAGGGAAGGAGCGGGAGGTGTTGCCATCTTGGATCATCCAGCATCGTTCCCTTGTACTGTGTTTATCCAGGCAGTCACAGAAGCCCTCCCAGGTTAAGGGAGGGTCCATAGACCCCACCTCGTGATGGGAGAGCAGCAGGATTCCGGAAGAGCACGTGGGGCCAGAACTGTATTGCTTCCAGTTTTTGAAAACCATTCTGCCATATGGTTAGAATTATAGATTGAGTGTTGAACCTTCTGGCTGTGGGACCTTAGGCTCCTCTCTGGGACTCGGTGTTCCTCCTCTATAAAATGGGGATAGTAGCAGTGGGTTCTCACAGGGTTATTGGCCGGGGGAGGTATTCATTGTGATTATACCCGGAAAGGACTAAATGGAGTCACGAAGTAAGTGTTCAATAAGTGGGACCAGTCGCTGTCATCTACTTGCTAGTTGCTCTCAGAACTACTTGGGGAAGAGAATCCAGAGCTGGGAAGGAGGAGGGCCATCTCCTGTGGGTGAAGAGTGTGACCTTGGGGAATCCTTTCTCGTTTTCCAGCTTCACGTTTTAGGTGTTAAGCAGTGGAATTCCCAAGCTTAACACATTTTTCTTTTTTTAATCAAGGTGAAATTCACCTAACCTAAAATTAACCATTATGAAGTGGCTTTAGTACATTCACAGTATTGTACAATTATGAGCAATATCTAATTTCAAAACATTTTTATCACCCCTGAAGGAGATCCTGTACTCATTAAGCAGTCTCTCCCATTCTCTCCTTCCCTAGCCCCTGGACACCACTGATCTACTTTCTGTCTCTACAGACTTACATATTCTTGACATTTTATAGAAATGGAATCATAAAATCCGTGGCCTTTTCTCTCTGGCTTATTTCACTTAGCATAATGTTTCTGAGGTTTATCCACATTGTAGCAGGTATTATTCCCTTCATGGCTGCATGATACTCCATTGTATGGATATATCACATTTTG